CATCACCTTAAAATTCCAGCCCTTCAGCTCTTCTGGTTGCCGAGCTAGTAATTTTCCTGCAGAAACGTTCATACTCCCTTACTTGTGTATAGCTCGTAGCTGGGAGCTGAATTGGAAATATTTGTCTTGTAGTTGGATAGGGGACGTTCCGCCAAGATTTCAGCTTTCTAGCCCTCCTGGTAGTCGAGTTAGCAATTTTTCCCCTAAAACTTTCATTAGCCCTTACTTGAGTCCACTCATATCTGGGGGCTGAATTTGAAAACTTTAGCTAGTAATTGCACAAGGAATATCCCTACAAAGTTTCAGCCCCTAAGCTCATGTGGTTCCCGAGATCTCTTTCCCGCCAAAAAATTTGCATATTTCTTTAAGGCTTCCGTACGCGGCACCCAGGCTTCCAAGGCGGATGAAATTAAAGCGGGCGGGTCGTGCATGGTATGGGCACATATCCCCAAAGTTTCAGCCTTCTAGCTCTTCTGGGTGTCGAGTTGAAAGTGGGTGACAGAAAGTGCGAACACACAGCCACACACACACGCATACACACACACACACACACACACACGCAGCCTCTTCCCAGTATGCGTTTTTGCAATTTACATATACGCAAAAACGCATAAAAAAATTAAGCTGAGGCAACCTTCAATATCTGATTCGTCCTACTTAGTCAGAGACGAAAATGATGAAAAATTTTTGGACAAATCATTTTAGTAAAAACCATTTTTCGGATAAAGCGACGGTTTGTGCATGATAATTGCGAAACAGCGAAAAGGATGGACAACTCTTTCTGGAATAAATATGACAAGCCTTTTTTTCAAATAGAGAAAATATTTTTGTGTTTTAACAAACCTTTCCTCGACTTTTCATAACCAGGATACCGTTTTTGCATTTTGCGCTATGTCAACAGGTTGAATTCATATAGCGCAGTAATCACTCTGTTTTAAACTGAAAAACTGCCTCCCCCAAAATTTATCGAATTTGTCTGGGCGGATAAAAATAATGTTTCATTACAAATATTTCGCAGGTCTCAGCCTTGCGATTTTGCATGAAATGATGATTGCTTGTAGCGAGCGACACATACCTTTATGAGAAACAATTCCTGCTATCGGCGGAACGAGGCGATATCGGAAGCGTCCGGAAGCTACTCGAATTTTATAAATGCACCGATGCATTCAATATTAACTGCTTGGATCCATTAGGAAGGTTGGCCGCTGCTCCTCATTTTTTGACTTGCGGCTTTTGCCTTCTTTCTCCGTAGGTTTCTGCCGTCTTTTCCCTTAGAACGGTGCGAACAATGTGTTTTTGCTCGATTTTTTATGTGCCTTGCTACTCGGCAGGAGCGCTGCTTGTAGATCTGCGCTTCATATAGCAGTGGAGAATGAGAATATTGAGTTGATCGAGCTTTTGCTGGACCATAACATCGAGACTGGCGATGCCATCCTCTATGCTATTGTCGAAGAAAACGTCGAAGCTGTGGAAATTTTACTGGAACATCTGGAAAAAATTGGCAAATTCAATCCCGAAGTTAGCTTTGCTGCATTTGTCGCGTGTGCTTTGCTCAAAAGCTGTAGGTACTTACTCTGTTCTGATGCTCTCCCTTCCTAATGCGTTTTTGTGTTTTTTGCAAATGAAATAAATGGCCAAAGCACGGGCTGCCCGTGCGAAGATGCGTTTTTTGCAGAGATCCCCGCAGGTTTTTGTCGCTACCGGC